CTCTCTCTCTCTCTGCGCGGTGTGCGGCAGCGCAGCGGTCCAGCTACCCAAAGCTTCCTTCGCCCCCAAAAGGCTGCGCCGAAGAGAACTTTTTCCTTTTTTCCGCTTTGGCTGGCTGGCACCTAAGCTCCAATCATCTAGTGCAGTCGCTGGCCGCGCAGCCAGTGCGGGAAAATTTTTTCGAAAATGGGCTTGGGCTCTTGCTATCCAAATTCCAAGCTGCATCAGAGCAGTCTCGGAGCTGCACGTCTGCGCGCGCTCAACCTGTCGCTAGTCCGCCATTCCTAATGGTGAATACAAGATCTACAAACGGGAACTTGTTCGTCTTGCCGTTGGCCTGAGCAGATCTCCCATTTCGATGTGGAATTTGTATTGCCTTGCTCTGCAGAAGCACTGGACGGCGCGCGCACACGCCAACCAAACTCCCTTTGCGGCTCGCCACTCGACTTAACTTAGCGCGGAGGTCGAGCCTCCGTCCAGCGAGCACTCGACTGCGCAGTTGGACTGAGCTGAGCTGAGGATGGGCACAAAGATACGCTGGCTCAGTCGCGCAAACCTCGAGCCTGCTGTAGCTACCCCAGTGCGTGGAGGCGTCGCAAGCCTTGACTGCGCCTTTTGACGGACAGTTCCTTCTTCGCGACCGCCCAATGCTTCGAGGGAATGTTGGAAGGAGATCGATGCGACTAGAGGCTTCGAGTAGAGGTGATAGCCGTGAGGCCGAGTATGTGGCCGAGAGAGTGTCCCACCGGATGAGGCGGTTGCCGCAGCCAGACACGCTCGGCGTGTCGCGCGAGACTCGTTGTCGGATCTGAATCAGTCTTCTGGCCTCCCTGACCAACGTAGAAATCGGGAGATCTAATGCCATTTAGGCAGAGAGCGTACATGCGTGGGTGCAACTCTCGTGATTGTGTTACTTTCGAATCTCGGCCAGCGTCTGCAAGGACAAACACACCTCGCAACCGACAGAACACTTGCTCGACATCCTCCACCAGCACCTCCGCTTCCCTCATCGTCACGCACACATCATCTCATCATGTCTGGCGACTCGAAAGTGTTCTCCCTCGTCGGCAAGGGCCTCAAGCTCGACACCAAGGCCGACATTCAGCCGCACCTCGACGCACTCCAGCAGATCGCAGATCTCCAAGAGGTCCACCTCGGCGGCAACACGCTCGGTGTCGAGGCTTGTCAGGCGCTCGCGGATGTTCTCAAGGACAAGAAGACGCTCAAGGTAAGTCTCTCTCATTCACTGTCTTGGCAAGGAGTCTTGTGGAGCTTGGAAGGCCCGCGTCCCTGACCTCGCACCACCGCTCCGCTTCAACCCATCTTGCGTCCAGGTCGCCGACTTTGCCGATATCTTCACCGGTAGGCTCATCTCCGAGATTCCCGATGCGCTTCGTGCCCTTTGCGATGCTCTCACCGACCACGCCAGCCTTGTAGAGCTCAACCTCTCGGACAACGCTTTCGGCGGTCGATCCGCCGAGCCCATGGTCAACTTCCTCAAGAACAACCACAGCTTCTCCGTCCTCAAGCTCAACAACAACGGTCTCGGTATCACTGGAGGTACCATCGTCGCTGAAGCCCTCTACGAAGCCGCGCAGAACCTCAAGGCCAAGGGCCTCGAATCCAAGCTGCGCACCGTCATCTGCGGCCGCAACCGTCTCGAAAACGGCTCAGCACCCGTGTGGGCCAAGGCGTACGCAGCGCACGGCGGCCTCGTCGAGGTTCGCATGTTCCAGAACGGCATCCGCATGGAGGGCATCGAGGCCATCAGCAAGGGCCTCGCCTCGTGTCCCAACCTCGAAGTGCTTGACCTCCAAGACAACACCGCCACGCTGCGTGGCTCGCGCGCCATCGCTGCATGCCTGCCCAAGTGGCCCAAGCTCAAGACGCTCAACCTGTCCGATTGCCTTCTCAAGCCCAAGGGGGGCGCGCTTGTCTTTGGTGCTCTGGCCAACGGCAGCAATCCCGCGCTCGAGACGATTCAGGTCCAGTACTGCGACCTCGACCGAAAGGTGCTCGACCAACTCGGCATCGCCATCGACCTCCATCTCTCCAGCCTCACCAAGCTGGACATCAACGGCAATTGGGCGGACGAGGAGGACGAATGCATCGACAAGATCAAGAGCGCCCTCGCCAAGCACGGCCACGAGGATGCATTGCTCGAGCTGGACGAGATGTAAGTCCGAAGCTATCGTGGCCGCAACCTTGCCGCCTCCACACCTAGCGCATCGATAAGCTGACATTTTCTCCCTTCTCTTCTTGATTTCGCTGCTACAGGGACCCCGAAGGCGAAGAGAGCGAGGGCGAGGATGAAGAGGATGCGGACGAGGACGAGGAGGAGGCGGACGCAGAAAGCTCCGCAAAGTCCTCGGCACAGGTCGACGACACCGACGAGCTCGCCTCTGCGCTGGCCAAGACGAGCCTCACAGACGCAAAGTGAGACTAGATGGCTTGTAATCGGACCATAGATACCGCCCTTTCGCTCTAATTTCTGTCGCCTTGCGGGGCTGATGAGCCGTCGTACACATATCGCGCAATCGTGTTGCGAAGGACGAGACGCATTTGTCCGCGCTAGATGGAGTCTGAGGGACAGCTCCGAGGAGGACACGGGAGAGGCGCGAAGGTCAAATCTTGTTAGATCGTTTGCAGTACAGCGCGGTTCGGAATCGATACGCGCTCGTCGTTTCGGCCTCGATTCCAATTCGCACCTCCGAGAGTTGGTCTCACCGAGCCTGGCCAAAATACGCACTGGTCCGGTCTCGACACCACCATCACCACCTAACTCCTCGACCCATCCGGCAAGGGCTTCCCTTCCCGACACCCAATACCTGTGGAGACGCATAGGCTGCAGCACAATGGCGGTTTTTTCGCTGTCTACGCTGCTCCAGAATGTCCCGCCGGGATCGAGGGCTTTGACCGCGGCGCTCTTGGCATTCTCGTTGCTTCTCTTCTTCCTGCGTCTGCGAACCGGTCTAGGATTCGGCACGGCTAGTGCAGTTCAGTTCCCTTGGCTCGTCATCGTCCCCGGCGCGAGCTTCTGGTATCCCTGGACGTTGCTCACATCGAGTTTCTGCGAGTCGTCCATCCTCGAATTTCTCGTCTCCATCGTCTCCCTACCGCTCGCAGCACGGTATCTCGAGCGTCAGTGGGGCGCAATCGAGCTCTTCAAGTTTGCCGCCGTCGTCCTCGCTGGAAGCAACATCATTGCATGGGGCCTGCAGCTCCTCCTCTTCGGCGTCTTCCGCAAGGAGGTGCTCATCTGGGGGATCCAATTCCACGGGCTCCAGGCACTTCAGACCGCCTTTCTCGTGGCCTTCACCCAGCTCATCCCAGAGCATCAGGTCCAGGTCCTGAGCGGAGCTGTCAAGATTCGAGTCAAGGATCTGCCCATGCTCTACGTGACCGTCAGCAACGTCATGTGCCTCCTCGGCTACACCTCGCCATGGATCCTCATTCAGTTCGGATGGCTCATCTCCTGGGCCTACCTGCGATTCTTCAAGGTCAACGAGTCCGGCCTCAGGGGTGATCGCAGCGAGGCCTTTGCTTTTGTCAACTGGTTCCCGCCCTTCGCTCACAAGCCGGTCCAATTCATCTCGACAACCCTATTCAACTTGTTCGTCAAGCTCCGCGTGGTCCAGCCATGGTCAGGTGGAGACTATGCCGACCTCGAGTCGGCTTCCGTCAACGGGCAGGCTCCTGCGCACAGCAGCGCCCGCGCCGAAGCCGAGCGCAGACGTGCCATGGCGTTGAAAGCGCTCGATCAGCGGCTCTCGGCGAACAAGGGCTCTGGCTCGCGAACGACCGATCTGCAGCGCTCTGATTCCACCAAATCTTCGGGCTCAGCTGCAGCAGCCGCGGCGTCGCACGAAAGCACAGCTCCGCTCCTTTCCGATACGACCAGCGCCGGTGCGGGATCCACTTCCGCCTCCGCGTCCATTCCCACCGTCGTGTTCGAGGCTCCCTCCGAGGACCTGCCCTCGGAGAAAGAGTCAAAGTAGGTGGTCACATGCCGCTTTTCTGACCTTCTTGGCGCCGTCTCACCTCACCTCGCCTGCATACGCATACTCCTTGTAAACGTCAGCGAAGATCCCTCTGCACACGGCGCGCGAAATTGACGACATGCACACGGCTTCTCGAGCGAATCTGCGCGTGCTTCTTCTGGCATCGGAACGAATCATGGAAGAAGATGCTGAACTGTAACGGGCCAAAACTGAGATGTAAATGCTCTGTAGATTGCAATGTGATGATGCTGCGTGACCACAAGCGCCGGAGACCTGCAAAGATAGAAGGTAGGCGCTCCAATTGAGCGAAACGGAGAGGAGCGAGAGTGCGACTCCCGTGCTCGCGTAGATGACTGATGACAATCAGTTGCGAGGTCCGTAGCCCTTTGCAACCCTTGGCTTGGAGTTGGACGACCCGAGCTTCTTGCCGTCGCGCTTTGCCTTCCTCTTGAACGCGCGAAGCTCCTTCTTCATGCGCGGATCGACCATCTTGTAGCGGCCCTTTGTGCCCTTGGGTCGTCCTTTGAGACCGCGGTTGACACCCCTGGCGACGACGAGCTGCACCTCCTTCTTCTTCTGCCCGCCCTTGACCGACTTGGCCAGCAGCTTGTTGATGGTCGACGACTTTTCCTTTTCCGAGATGTCTTCGTTATCGTTGATGGTCTCGGCCTTCTTCTGTGCCTTTTCGAGGCGTCGGAGCGTTCGCATCTTCTTGCGCGCCTTGGCCTCGGCGATCTTCTTGATCGGTCGAGCGTCCAGAGCTCGTTCGCGATCCCGCAGAGCCTGCATGGCCTCCTTGGTGATGGGGATGTTGGCTTTGTAGTGCTTCTGCTCGTCATCGAGGAACCAGGTTGGCAAGCCGTCCTTGTCGACAAAGTTGTGCTTGGAGAATCCCTGGTCGACGAGGTCCTCCTTGGTGATCTTGCGGTTGACGAGCGCTTGTGCGAGTGCAACAGCCTCGGCTGTGGCGAGGCCGTGGTCCTTGATGCGCTTCTGCTTGCCGGCTTCCTCGTCCTCGCCGTCCAGATCCCACTCCTCGTCGGGGATGGCGTGCTCCTCGTGATCTTGAGGCACGACTTCAAAATCTTCCTCGTCATCATGCTCGAGACCGCTGCCAGAGTCAGAGGCATCACCGTCGTCGCTGAGCTCCTCGTCCTCTTCTTCCGCGTCCGTCTCCTCCCACGCATCTTCGTCATCGTCGAGTGGCTCCTCATCTGCGGGCAGTGCATCCAGGCCGAGGTCCTTGAAGAGAGGGTTGTCGAACCAGATGGACGCCTCTCGGCTCTGTTGCGCTGTGACATCTGCGTCGCTGGTGAGGCTGTTGACGAGGGAGCGCTTGGACGGCTTGGCGGGAACATCGGCTTGAGCGAGCGCTGCAGCGTCGGTGTCGCGCTTTCTTTTTCTGATCTGTTCGACAGCTTGACGCTCGAGACGCTCGTCCTCCTCGTCCTCTTCGTCATCGGTGTCGAAGGTCTCTTCCTGCTCCTTGCGCCTTTGAACGAGGTCGTAGCCGCCCTCGCTGTCTTCGGACATTTCGGCGTCGTCATCGTCCTCCTCCTCGTCGTCGTCCTTGATACCGTGCCATGAGTCGTTCTTTGCGTCTTTGAGGCGAGCCTGCTTGGCGCGAAACTTGGCGTCGCGGTCGGACTGCTTCTGCTTGAACTCGTCGTAGAGGGCGTCCATCTCGGCGTCGAGACGTGCCGCACGCGCCTGTGGGTCGTCGTCGTCGTCGTCATGCGAGCTGACGATGGTGTCGCTCTCGTCGTCGCTGAGATCAGCCTGTTGCATGAGTGCCTTCTTGGAGACCTTCTCGCCCGAGCCGATTTCAAAGATGTCACCGTTACCGGAGCCAAGCTGGTCGTCCATGACGTCCATGCCGATGTCCATGGGTGTGGTCATCTGGAGCTGCATCTTGAGAATCTTTTTCTGACGCAGCTCGTTCTTGCGACGCCTCTCCTTGCGAGCTTTGCGGGCGGCCTCCTCGTTGAGGCGGGCGAGCTCGTCGTCGATCTGGTCGTCCTCGTCCATCTCCTCGACTTCGACGGTCTCGATCTGCTCGGCAAGGTCCTTCTGCTTGGACTTGGGCATGTCGAGGCCGAGGGCAAGGCGGACCTCCTTGCGCCAGTTCATGAGGTTGCGGAAATCCTTTTTGCCAAGCACCTTGAGATCCGAGCAGTTGTCGCGCATCTCTTGGGTGGTGTCGGGGAGGTCGAGGAGCGTCTTGCTCTCGTCGGACTTGAACGAGATCTCGTTGTAGGAGCCTAGCATGCCGATGACGTCCTGGCCTTTGATGAAATCCATGGCGTCGAGGGAGTGGAAAAGGGTATAGTCTCCGTCGGCGTAACCCTCACGGTTCTTGCGGATCTTCTTGGGTGCGAATACGTTGGCGTGCGCGTTACCGGCCGAAGTGCCCTTGAGACTGAGGGGCACGCCGGCTTCCTGGTCCTCCTGTGCGAGGGTGGCGGGGTCGAGCTCCTTGAAGACATGGCGTGGATCGAGGAACTTGGGGTCGATGCGGGCAGGGTTCTTGTAGCCTTGGCAGACGACGAAGATCTCCGCCGAGACGTTACGTGAGGAGGAGGGCTTTGTGGCTTCGACCTTTTTGAAGAGCTGGTTGAAGACCCAGAGCAGATTGTTGTAGTCTTTGGAGCGGAAAACCTTGGTGACAAAGGTTCCGCCTGCGTTGAGGAACTCGACGGCGAGACGCAGCGACTGCAGGGTGAGTTCGGACTGGGCGTAGGCATCCTGGACCCAAGCGGTACCGACGTTGGGAGCACCGTCGTGGATGACAATGTCGGCCTTCCAGTCCTTGAGGATCTGGCGGAGCTGGTCTCTGCACTTGTACGAGTTGATGTCCTCTGCAAAGGTGATGGTCCTCGGGATGGGCTTGATGGGAACGAGATCGACACCTACGATGAGCGAGTTGGCGGGCATGTATTTGGAAGCGACCTGGAGCCAACCTCCGGGCGCGGCACAGAGATCGATGCAGCATCGAGCCTTTTCGAGGAAGTTGTACTTTTTGTTAAGCTGGACGAGCTTGAAAGCCGCACGTGAGCGGTAGCCTTGTTCCTTCGCAAGCCAGTAGAACTTGTCGAGACGGCCCTTGGCCGTCTTCTTCTGCTGCTTCTTACCCATTGCGAGGAAGCGGCAACAGCTGCGACGTGCGGAGAGAGAGGCCGGGCGGGATGGTGGAGGAAAGTGGACATGCTCAGCCGGTGGCGCCGACCTTCACTCTCGCAAAGCGCACAGCTGCCGCGAGCCTCGAACCTTGAATCTCCTCCTCATGCAGCATCCGCTCCGCAACAAATTTCGGCCTCCTCTTCCTCCTTGGCTCACGGTGAAATTTCCAAAATTTTTGGAAGGAGCTGCAGCCTCGCGACCCTGGCTCTCGAGCTTCAGACCCTGGCAAGCTTGGGATCTGATCTGTCGCACGAGTGGTGTCTGAACGCGTTGACCTTTGCTTTTTCAAGTTTGGTGAAGAATTCTGAGATCAGTCATTTGCACAGCCAGTCGCGTCTCTCCGCTCACCACGAGCCGGAAGGATTGCACAGAAGAAGGAGAAGAAAAAATCAGGACGAGCTCAAAGGGCCAGGCGGAGCCAAGCAAAGCGCAGCGCGAGAGACTCGAAGCACTTGCCGCAGAGGCAGAAGAGGGCGGCCAGCGCTGGTGTCCATGTCGGTGCAGAGACTTGTGCCTGCAAGTCGTCGTTACAGCTCCTTTTCACCACCACGTCTCTCCCCTTCAGCGACAGCTTCTCACAAAAAGGTCGTATAGACCACTTCTTCACCTGTCATCATTGGCTGGCCCGCACATTCCGCCAACGCCGACACGTCGCTCTTCGGTCTACACAGCCACCTCTTGTCCGACTGCGAACGAGGGTGTCTCTGATAGAACCGCAGAATCACTCGCTGCAACGTCCGCCCTAGCCCCGACTCTTTCTCCAACCCCCGCACACTTACAACATGCCTAGCGTCCAGGACATCACAAACGGCGTCGACGAGCTCGACATCATCGACGACGCCGACATCGACTTCTCCGACATTGAACAGAAATACTCGGTCAAGTTCGACGAGGGCCTCGACGATGTCATCGTCATCGAGGGCGTCCCCGTCATCACCGAGTCGCGCCAGCAGAAGCTCTTCGAGACCATCCAGAAGCGCTTCAAGACTCAGGCAGGCATCGACATCGCCGTCGACGGCATGCACATCCCCTACGCAGACAACGGCGAGTCCAAGGGCTACCTCTTCGTCGAGATGGCCTCCGCAGAGGACGCCGCACAGGCCATCCGCCAGATGGACGGCTACGCCTTCGACAAGAAGCACCGCTTCTCCGTCCACCGCTTCACCGACGTCGAAAAGTTCGCCAGCCTCTCCGAGACCTACGAAGAGCCCGCCGAGGAGGAGTTCAAGCCGCGTGAGCACCTCCGCTCCTGGCTCGCCGACCCGGCCGGCCGCGACCAGCTCGTCATCTGCCGCGGCGACGACGTCGAGATCGCCTGGCACAACCGCTCCTCCGATCCCCAGGTCGAGCACAGCCGCCCGCGCTGGACAGAGAGCTACGTCCAGTGGTCGCCGCTCGGCACCTTCCTCACCACCTTCCATCGCCAGGGCATCCAGATCTGGGGCGGCCCCTCGTGCGAGCGCTTCATGCGCTTCCCGCACCCGGGCGCACGCCTCGTCGACTTTTCCCCGAGCGAAAAGTTCATGGTCACCTGGTCCCACGAGCCCATCCAGGTCCCCGACAACGCTCCCATCGGCCCCCAGTTCTTCGGCCCCGAGGACGAGGGCAACCGCATCGCCGTCTGGGAGGTCCGCACCGGCCACCTCCTGCGCACCTTCCCCGTGCCCCAGGATGAGAACGGTCAGCCCGGCCAGCTCAAGGGCTTCTCCTGGCCCTTCCTCAAGTGGAGCCCAGACGACAAGTACTGCGCGCGTCTCAACCCCGGCCAGGCCATCAGCGTATACGAGACACCGTCCATGGGCCTGCTCGACAAAAAGTCGATCAAGGTCGAGGGCGTCGTCGACTTTGAATGGTGCCCCATGGGCGACAAGGACCGCGAGGTCGCCGAGGCGGGCAAGCCCAACAAGAAGGCCCGCGACAACATGATCGTCTTCTGGCAGCCCGAGGTGGCCAACCAGCCGGCGCGCGTCACCGTCATGGCCGTGCCCTCGAGAACGATCCTGCGATCCAAGAACCTCTTCAACGTCTCGGACTGCAAGCTGCACTGGCACCCGCAGGGCGACTACCTCTGCGTCAAGGTCGACCGCCACACCAAGACCAAAAAGTCGATGTTCTGCAACCTCGAGATCTTCCGCGTGCGCGAAAAGGAGTTCCCCGTCGAGGTCGTCGAGCTCAAGGACCCCGTCACCGCCTTCGCCTGGGAGCCTTTCGGAACCCACTTTGCGCTCATCTCGAGCAACGATCCGCAGCTCGGCACGCCGGCGCCCGGTATCACCATCAAGACCCAGCTCAACTTCTACCACCTCCATCCCAAGGGCGACTTCCGCCCGCTCAAGGTGCTCGACAACAAGACGCTCAACACGCTCTTCTGGTCGCCGCGCGGTCGCCACATTGTCGCCGCCACGCTCGGCAGCTCGCAAAAGTTCGACCTCGAGTGGTACGACGTCGACTTCATGCACGAGGTGCGACAGGGCAACCCTTCGGCCGACCCGGCGGACGACGTCAAGCTGATCGGCACCGGTGAGCACTACGGCATCACCGACCTCGAGTGGGATCCCTCGGGACGCTACGTCGCCACCTCGGCCTCCGTGTGGCGCCACTCGCTCGAGAACGGCTTCGCCATCTGGGACTTCAAGGGCCAGGAGCTGCAGAAGCACATCCAGGACCGATTCAAGCAGATCCTCTGGCGCCCGCGCCCGCGCACCTTGCTGTCCAAGGAGGACCAGAAGAAGGTGCGCAAGAACCTGCGCGAGTACTCGAAGCAGTTCGAGGAGGAGGATGCGGCCGAGGAGTCGAACCTCGCTTCGGCGGAGCGCGAGCTGTACCAGCGCATCCTCGAGGAGTGGAAGGCGTGGCGTGCGCGCTCGCGTCGCGATCTCGAGCAGCTGCGCGAGGATCTCGGACGCGAGGCGGTCGGACAGAGTGTCGACCACGCCAAGAAGCTGGCCGAAGAGGCGACCGAGGAGGTGCAAGAGTGGATGGAGGAGATCATCGAGGAGACCGAGGAGGTGCTCGCCTGATGTACGTTCTGCTCGCTTCTCCCCCGGGCGCGTCGATTCTGTGATTGTACCTTGTCCTCACGCATTCTGTCTATAGATGGCAACGCACTCTGCTATAAAATGCGGTTGTCATCCAAAACACATGACTTGATTGCCAGATTGACTGCGACCGCATTGAACTCGGGCGAGATGGCGACCCATGTTCATGTCGATTTGGGTATTGTGGCTGCAGGAGAAGGGTTGGAATCGGCTGAAACGGAGGCGGCGTCGCGGAAGCTGTGTCTCCAATGAGCGAGGCCGAGCTGGTGCATGTCCTGCTCGATGTCCTTGGGAAGATTGATGTGTTTGACTGACTTGGGCTCAAAGGTGGTTTCTAACAATCTCGCCGTCTTGCGCTGCATGTATTCGATCTGTGCAAAGTCTCTCCTGCGAAGGCCGCCTCCCCACGAGGGATGCTTGAAGAAGTAGCGCAAGTAGATGGTGAAGTCTCTGCGATGCTCCTGCGATGCACGGATGCGCGGGCGAATGCAACGATGATTGTCAGTTGACACGCCGGGTCGAGCCCGAAAGCTGGCCGAGCTGCTTACCTGCTCTTTGGTCTTGATCATGCGGAGACCTCTCCGATACAGCGCCAGGATCTCCTTTTGAGCCTGTGTGAGCTTCTTTGCGGGTGGCATCTTGGCGTGCGTGTGACGACGGAGCTAGAGTCAGGGAGCGTGTCGCGAAGTGATCACGGAAGATGGCAATCACAGGTCAAGGTGTGACTGCCGAGGGATAGAAAGCAGCTCGGGAGCCTTAGGTAAAGATCTCCACCTAGACGGCACTGCGGACTGCAGCAAAGAGTGTGATTTTGCGGAAGTCGGAAGAGCGCCGAAAGGGTGCGGCCAAAATATTTCGGAACTTCCGAGGGGTCCTGCTCGATGAAACGAGCCCTCACCCCCTTCCTTGCTTCTGCGCATCGTCACGGTCACATCGCAATGCCAAAAGCATCCAAGCGACAGAAGGAAAAGAAGGCAGACTTCCAGGTAAGTGCCGAGTCAGGCGGTTGTTGGATGGCTTCCCAAGAGCAAGGTCACTAATGCAGAGCCCACGTCTGGCCCCCCTTCGGTGTCGCTCTCGTAACAGAAAACCAAGCTCAAGCTTGGCAAAGGAAAGCAAGCCGCCAACAATGCGACCGACACGTCCTTCAAGGCCAAGACGATCGCGCTGCCGCAGCAGTCGATCAATGCCGACAAGTCGGGCAAGCTCGTCAACTCGCGCAACCTCACTGTAGCGGATCTCGCGCTCCAACTCCGCCACTACTCGGCGGGCGTGCGAAGGGATGCGGTCGCAGGCATCAAAGAGATTCTCACGCTCCACCCGAGCTTGATGCTATCGGCTGCGCCACAGCTCGTGCCGGAACTGTCTCGCTGCATCGGCGACGACGACGGCACGGTCCGCAAGCAGTTGCATCTCCTCTTCGCATGGATGTTGCCGCAGATCCCGCTGCAGCTGCTCGGTCCATATCACAACACTCTGCTGCTCTACACCACCTCGGCACTTAGTCATATCTACCCAGAAGTGCGGCTGGACGCCATCAAAGTGCTCGACGTCTGCCTCGATGTCCTGCCCCACACCGCAACTTCAGGCTGGCAAGACGCCGTTTTCAACATGTCAAAGGCCAGCACCTCAACGGCGGCCAATCCGGTCGCCGCAGGACCCAGCACGTCAGCACATCAGCCGCATGGAGAAAGGATCATGAACTGCTTCCTCAACCTCCTCGGAGTCACACGCAGATCAGGCAACGCCGTCTCCATCACTGCCACGGACCTGGCTCCCGCTGCCAAACTCCTCATCCTCAGCTCACTCAGGACTTTCCTCTCGCACGCCCTTCCCACCACCTCAAGCGACGGTGATGACCACTCGTCCAGGTGCCCTACCTGGTTCTTCCGCTCCGCCTTTGCCTCTACAGCCGAGTTTGAGCACTTCGAATCCCTGCTCGGCAAGCACACCAATTCCAACCGCACCCGCACCCTCTCCGTCTTCGCATCTGCAGCCAAGGATCGTTCGCACCCAGATGTCAACTCAGGCTCCACCACCCAGGCTTCTCTTTCGCATTGGACGGACAGCGAGATGTCAACTTTGACCTTGATGGACCTCGACTCCACTTCCGGCACATCCGTACAGCAGTCCGACCTTTTCGCTTCTTTGCAGGCTGCCCTCTCCTTATCGGCTTCGGCTGGCAATGGCTCGTCGGGCTCCCATGCTGCTCAGTCGGCAGCATTGGCGCTGTACGAGCTGCTCGACCCTATCCTGCTCGCTTCCTTCCTTGACACGGCTCCAGCGGCGTTCCAGCCCGACCTCGACCTCTCCCATCAGGTGCGGGGCCAGAACGTTGGGCTCTCAACGCCTTCCCAACTCATCTTTGAGATCATCCAGCTCCTCCTGACTCTCTGGCGCGGCGCGTCGGCCCCCACTTCAAAAGCGCGCACCTCGCTCGCAAACTTGCTCGGCCATGCTTCCATCTACTTTCCCTTCAGCAGCCACACTTGGTCCAGCACTCTGTCGCACAAGGCAAAGTCGCTCGTCGTGCAGATGGATCTCGCCTATGCCGAGCTTGCCGCGCTCTTCGCCATCAACACGGAAGACTCGCAAAAGGCCAAGTACAAGTTCAACGTCGACGTCCAGGTCGCTGCGGTCGCAGCCTTTGTCTCGGAGCTGCTCGCGGTGCCAGTCACGGAGCAAGGCACGGTCTCGCTTGGCAGCGTAGGCGGCTCGGCCGCCAGTGTGCTTGACGCCGACACCTTCCATGCACTCTTGCCCACCTTGTGGTTCCTGCTTGGCGCGGAACACGAGACTTTACTCGACAGCCTCCTCACCGCCTACCAGGCGTACTCCACGCAGCATCGAGTCAAGCCAATCCTCTTTGAATTCCTCGCTCGCGCCTATCTTCTGTCCAAGCTGCGGGCTCAGACCCCCTTCACCCAGGCGGAAAGCGATCGCATCCTTCAGACCCTACTGTTGGGCCTTCCACGCAACCTTTGGGAAGCGGCTTCCAACTCGAGTGGTCATGCATTTGCTGGCTTGCAGCTCGAGCTTCTCCACTTTGTCTTGCTCCTCCCTTCGCCCCCAGCAGCTCTGGAGTTTGGAAAGCTCGCACCCTTCTACTGGGTCACGCATCCGACCAAGAAGGTGTCGGGCCCCGGACCATTTAACAAACTGCCATCTCTTCTGCGTAAGCTGGCACTCGACAACTCGGTCCTGCTGCGAACTTGCGATGGCAGGCTCGACAAGGCCATCTCATCTGCACGCCAATCTGTAATTCGAAGCCCGTGAAGAGCAACCAACGGCACCTCATCGCTTGGATCATAGATCAATGGATTATACCAATTGGCACCGTGCAGCCCTGCTTGAAACGATACAGCTCGTAAGACGAACAGGGAGAAGTTGACGGTGGGAAAGTGGGTACGTAGCGAGCCATGCGTGTCAGAGGGCGCTATCATTAGGAGCGTCACCGAGCTTCTTTTCAAGCCTTTCGTACATGGCATGGGCATGCGGGATGAGCGCATTGAACTGGCTGTTGGACCACTGGCCTTTCTGCGAAGGAAGAGATGGCAGGTTGCCGGACGTCTTGAGGATTGCGAGCAGCTTGGCCAAAAGGGCATACGAGAGCTGGTCGGCTTGGGCCTTGTCGATGGTGCGAAGGCCGCGCTTCTGGTGAGCGCCGGGGTCGAGCGCGCGATGCTGACCGAGCAAGGTGGCCAGTTGCAAGATGCTTGGTGGGTAGTCGGATTGAGCCGACTGCTCGAGCCAGAAGCGAGCTTCGACGTCGTCCGGGTCGACGCCAAAGCTGTCCTTGTGCGCCTGCTTCATGGTCTTGTCTCCGCCAGTGACGTCGGGATGCTGCGCGAGCTTGTCGCGATCCAAAAAGTAGAACGAGCCGACCTGGAACATGCTCTGCGCATCGCCCTGGTCGGCTGCGCGTTTGAAGAGGTCGAAGGCTTGCGCCTTGTCACCCGCCTCACCGTCCAGCAGGTGCTGCATGCCAAGCGCGAACAAGCAACCCGAGTGACCAAGCTCGGCACCTTTTTTCAGATACGCTCTCGCGCGGCTCGGATCGGGTGGGTTGAAGCGCGATTCCTGGAAGAGGGTGGCAAGGTCGTACCATGCTTCTGCGAGACCGTTATCTCCTGCCTTTGTATAGAGTTTGACCGCTTGTTCAATGAGAGCGGGCCACTGTGCCTTGTCGACCTGACCGCGGTGGATGCGCTGCAGCAGAAGGCGTGCGACGCCGACCGAGCCGCGGGCGTTGCCTGCATCGGAAAGCTCCTGGTAGAGGGACAAGGCACGCTGCACTCTCGCCTTGGCATCGCCCGAGGGAGGCGGAGGCGCGGTATTCTGCAGCACCATGCTGGCCCAAAAGTAGCCGGCATCGTCGGAGCCAAACTGATGCGCGACTTCGAACAGGCGGAAAGCGAGTGGCTGTCGACGCGGGTCCGAGGATACAGAGAGGAGCGCATTGGCGAGCTCGGTGATATGAACTGGGCCGACACCCCAAGCTTTGGCATTCGAGATGATGTCGTTGTCGACCGAGGCTTGGTAGGCCTCTCGATCTGCGGCCGAGGGAAGATCGGCGGTGGTGCGCAGCTGGATGAGCAGCTTGGTCAGCAGCGAGCACGCTTGATCGTAGTCGATGGCGCTTGCGCTTGAATCCGAGTATCGTGCCGATGGAAAGATACGGCGAACGGAAGATTCGAGCTCTGCGGCATCTGGAACACGAAAGCTGGAAGGCACTGCATAGTGGCGCACTGCAGTGGTGTGGCAAAGTGACGAGCGGCTCGCAAGCAAAGGCTGTGGGGGCAAGCGTGTACGGGCGGCAGCAGCTGGCGCCTGGCGCAAGATTCGCAGCAGGGCGCGGGTGCGAATGTGTGCATTCATGATCGATGGGGTCGACTGAGGAGCAAACATGGAGGCCAGGAGATAAGAAGGGTGAGCTGGCCGTCCCGGGTTTCGAGCTCCGCACGGACTGAGTCGCCGTCGTCTGACGCAGTCCGCCTCCACTTCTTCGCATTTGCACCCCGAGTTCCGGACATCCCGACTCGACTCAGATCGAATGACCGATTCCGCTCTTCTTCAGGACTGCCTTCCCACCTCATCCGTGTGCATCAAACCCGTGGCATGGAGAGCAACGCCACATCACAGGAGCCATCCTGGCCATCGCCAGCCTCATCTTGGATCGAAAAGGTCCTCTTCCTCGGCACGGGAACCAGCGGACAAGTACCGGCGATTCACTGCGTCACCCAACCCGACTTTGGCGGTTGTGCGGCCTGCGAGGATGCCACTCGTCATCCCACGGGCAAAAATCGAAGAGGCTGCACTGCAGCTGCCATCGTCGGGCGACATCCTCAAGACCCGAATTACAGTACCATCCTCATAGACTGCGGCAAGACCTTCTATTCGAATGCCATCGTCCATTTCCCCAAGAACGGCATCCGCTCCATTCGCGCCGTCCTGCTCACGCATGCACACGCCGACGCCATCCTCGGACTCGACGACCTTCGCGCATGGACCATGGGAGGCGTCATTCAGCGACACGTCGACATCTATCTCACCGAAGAATGCATGCAAGTAGTTGCGGGCATGTTCCCCTACTTGGTCGACCGCTCCAAGTCCACCGGCGGCGGCGACGTCCCCACTCTCCGCTGGAACATCATCGACAGGCAATCCTCCTTCACCATCCCAGCCTCGCAAGGCCGCAAAGAGCTTCAAGTTCAGCCGCTTCCCGTCCTTCACGGCTACATCGGCCGCTCATCGCCCTTTTGGAGCCTGGGCTTCCGCATCGACTCTTTCAGCTACATCAGCGACTGTCACAGCATTCCGTCCGAAACCTTAGATCTGATGCGCGGCAGCCAGGCCATCGTCATGGACGCCCTCAAGATGGACAGACATCTCTCGCATTTCTCCTTCTCGCAGGCTCTCTCGTTCTTCGCCTCCTTCTCGCCTCCGCCTGTGCTCGGGCTACTCACCGACTTCACTCATCGCATAGAGCACTCCGCCACACAGCAGCTCGTCGACATTTGGAGGAACGGTATGCTAGCTGCTCAGCTCGACTCGCTGCAAACATCCACTGCGAACGGAGCATCTGAACACCCGGATAGCACCGGAGAAGGCGGCGGTGTCCGCTGGTGGTCGCATATCTGGGACGAACTGGACAGCGAGAGCAACATGACGATCCGACTCCGCCGCTCATATCCCTCACTTCAAGAAGATGCTGCTCGAAACGTCGCACATTACATCCCGCCGATCAAGCTCAGCTGGGACGGCTTGGTGGTACATTTTCACCCGCAATGATACATATCTGATACGCTTATAAGCTGGATTGGTTCGAGCGGCTGAAATGCTGGTCGGAGGAAGCTCTACGAGATGCGGCATCCGGCGAAGCAGGCGGAATTAAAGCCGACGAAGGACCCGAGCCAGGCTAGGGCATTCTTCGGTCCTCCGAGGATGGATGGTGTGGTACAGTGGTCAGCATCATTTCGCGCTTTGGGTACAGCAGACGCCGACCAGCCTTTTAGACGCCAACGCGAGTACAACGATCGCACCCAGTCCCAAGGCGAGAGGCACGCTCTGAGAAGCCGCCCATCCGTGACCATTCGAGCTGCCCATCGTTTCGGTTACGGGCGGTGCTGCAAGCTTGCCCGCAGCGACCGTGGCCGCGTACCACGGCACCAACGACGCGCGCACGTCGGCTGGCAAGCTTTGCGAGAACAGCGATGGAAGCGAGGCCGCCTGGATGTTGTAGCCCATCATGGCCAGGGTACATGCGATGGCAAACACGACGGCGGTTGCTGCCGAGCCCGCTTTGAAGGATACCGACATGATGGCGAGGAAAACGGCGATGACCGAAATGACTTGCGAGGCCTGCGTCAGCATCGTTTCGGCATGCAGATTGGCGCCTGCTTGGTCTTCGAGCTTGCCCTTCTCCGCTGCATCTGAGCCACTTGCTGTATTTCTTTTTTGCATGTAGTCCACGATGAATCGGCGCATGCGACCACAGCCGATGCTCGCCAAGAGCGAGAGCGCAAAGACGATCGCCTGGATTCCAGAGGCAAGGGTGATGCCAATGTGCCAACGGTGTGCCAGGAGCTCGGACAGCAGGAAGAGCACGTTGGCGCTCAGGTAGGCCGAGACGAGCATGAGACCGAGAATAAGGCATGGCATCTTCCAGCGTCCATCTTTCGAAGAGAAGAAGCCGATGAGCGGGACAAAGGCGTTGTGAGCCGGCTTGGACTTGTCTTTGAGTAGAACAGCAACCAGAGACGCGATGACAAGCGACGTAAAGGCTGCAAGGAACGTAGGCGCGTTTGTTCCATCCACCTCGAAAGCACTGTGGCCGACGTCAAAGTGAACGCGACTCAAAGGGATGCTGAGAAGCGGACCCAGCACCATGGCAATGCCGCCGAACGTGCGGAAGAGCGACATGGCCTCGATCCTCTGATGCGACGCGGTGGAGACGGTCAGATATGCCATCGCCAAAGAGGCGCTTCCGCTGGCTAGACCGAGAAGACATCGAGCACCGACGATGGCCCAGACGTTGTTGATGCCTCCGGGCGCAGCCACGGAGTAGATGAAATTGCCGACGGCCGAACAAAGAAGCAGGAAGCATGCTGGCCATTTGAGCGACCCGGCCATCGCGGCAAGCGGACCGACCAGCAAAGAGACAAAGAGCTGCACTGCGGCGGGAAGAAGCTGAGCCAAGCTGAGGTAGTGGCTCGTCTCAGTGCGGTTTGAGGTGCATTTTGCGATATGTTCGTATGCTGTTGGTAGCCAGAGGGTGCTGTCCATGCCGAACTGCAAGGCGATGAGGAAGACGGGGAAGAGTCGGATAAGGAGGCTGCTGGTCTCGGCCTGATCGGGTTTCGATGCCGAGCTCGACCCTTGCTGACCTTGCGTTGCCTCTAGCTTGTCGGCAGCTTGCAACGAGTTGACGTTTGGCGAAGAAAGCCTGTCCATGTCATGGCTTGAAACGTGGCGAGATCCATCTTTTTCTGGGAAGTCAGGCTGATCGGTGGCCGAGTTGTGCGTCTGACTCGAGTTGCTGAAGTTAGCGTGAAGCGCACCAGCGTGCTCGGCTTGATCGACCGAGGCCCTCTGTGGACCAGGCGCGCTCATATTGGCAGGTATCGTTGCAGTCGAGAGCTTGCGAGAAGTGGTGGATGGCGATGATGCCAAGAACAACGGTTGTTCCATCGAAGGTGTTGAGATCTTTATGTGGCTTATGTGGCTCTACCGCGTCTCATCTAACCGGCTGAAGGCTTCAACCTCCGCCCAGAGGCCCATCCATGGAGCCAGAGCATCCTGCGAGTGGCGTGGCGGAGAATTACGAGGTTGCACTGGGGACGTCATCACAGCGACCCGGGCTGGAAGCGTTGACAGGACGCAAGTCACCACGCGCAGCCGGCGGAACGGACAAACGGACAAGCGGATGCGCGGTGTATGAGAAAAAAGAATGGCTCACGGCCTTGCTCTTCGCCACTGGCTCTGAAAGACGGCTGCTAGCATTACTTGGCTTCGGATATGCACAAGCACGGAGGTGTCAAGCGAGTGGCGCGGACATGTCTTAGTTTGGGCAGATTGCTACATCCCGCAGAAAGGGGGAAGAATCACACGGTCGTTTTAAAATATTGTTATTAAATTATGTAGAGCTTGATTCGGATTTCAAATTTTCTAGCTTGTTCGTACCCTTGCAGCTGCAGCACGAATCGCACTTCACTGAAGGATGGGCGTGAACATGGCCTGTCCGTTAGAGCGAGTTCTCACAAGAGAGTCACGCACCGTTTGGTGACGAATCGAGCTCATCGCACAATGCGCACTTATTGTCCGTTGCTGCAGAGCGTTACTTACAAGAGGTGCAAGTCCGGTCAAATCCCGCCACCGAGTCTCGCAGCCTTGCGAGCCTTGCGCAGCAGAGGGGGCGACACCACGCCGTGCTGGTGCAATTGTTCCAAGGCCCCAAGCGCGAGCAGCGCATCGGACCTCTGTCTCTCGCTGTCGTCTGCGCTCGAAGCAGAGTCGGAAGCGACAGGGAGCAACGGATGCTTGATCAATGCCAATGTGAAGACGAGCGCACGCAGGCTCAACCCGGCCAACAGTTCGAGCAGGTGTCTGTCCACTCTGGCCGAGCGGGCCAGGTCGGGTTGAGTGAGCGAGACCGGTCTGGATCCAGATGAGGGACGCAGCGACAAAAGACTTGGCCTAATAGCGCCGTGGGCATCGGAGCGAGTCGAGCCATCCTGACCACTGCCGCGAAGCTCGCGGCTACGATGATTGGCTCCGTTCAGGTCGTCGCCACCGTCTTCTTCCTCCCCTTCCTCCCCATCTTCTTCTTCGTCGTCGTCATCCTTGGCTCCGAGGCTAAGTAGGGTGCCAAGTACAGTAGAGACGGTCGCCGATATGCTCTCCTGCGCTGCCTTGCGATGGTCGATGTCAACACGGCAGAACGGATAGTGCAGCAGAACGCGGGTGTAGCGCATCAACATGAGCACGAAGCGCTTGAGCTGCGACTCTCTGTTATCGGCTCTTGCTGGCTCGCGCGTCTGCAAAAGCGAACCACAAAAGTCAAGAGCCTTGGCTGTTCGCTTGACGTGAACCTGTTCTTGATGCGACGGCCTGGTCGTCATGGGCGTCGCCACCTCCAAGCGGGTCTCGCAAGGCACCAACAGTCTTGCTCCTTGTCGGTAGTGTCGCTCGATGGTCTGGCCGATTGCAACGCTTGTCCAGATGCGTGTGACGAACACGGGTGATGAGGACAGAAACTGCGATCTTGGACTCTCTGCAGTCGCTGCTGTGTGCGAAGATGATTCCGAATCGGCCTCTTGTTGGATGCTGGCCTTCGGATCCGGCATGGGCAGCTCGACAAGCGCCAAGTCGATGGGCATGTCTCGTCCTTGCCAGGCTTGGAAGTGGCAGCCCTGGCTGACGAGGTGCCAGAAGGCATTTAGCGCTTGTTGCTGCCGGAGGGACGAACCTAGATGGGCGATCGTCGCAGCGCGGTGGATCGACAACGTGGCTGCTGCTCTGCAGCCCAGAAACACGGACGCAGAAGCGAGCTCTTGACCCTGGTGGCATCTTGAGAAAGCAAGCGACATCATGCGGTACGTCTGCATCACTTCGATCGGATCTCCACAGAGGCCTTTTCGGCAGTGATCCCAAGCGACTGTAAAGCGCAGAACGGTGTTGTCTGGCTCATGATCGAGTTCCTCTAGGGTTAGATTGCGAGGGAGCTCGATCGGCGACGAAGCCAGAATCGACTCGGCGAGGCAGATTGCTGCCAGTGTCCAAGCGCAACGGAGTGGATCTGGCTGGATGGAGGAAGAGGGCTCGGAATGATCGGGGACACCTGCCGAGCCATCTTGCGCCGAGACCGTGTCCAGCTCGAGCTGTTCTTGCAGCTTTGAAAGGCATAGAAAGGGGCTTGTTTCTGCCTCGGAACCACCATGCGCCGTGCGACAGAGCCTTTCCAACACTACCAAGAGTGTCGGCCACCTGCTTCGTTCTGGCAGACAGCGTCTGCAGGCATGATGCAGCTCTGCAGATGCCTCGTTTCGGCCTTGAGCAGAGAAGGGGGGCGTAGCATCTTCGACTTGCGCGCGGCCATTGCGTCCCGTGGTGAGACGCAGAGAGTCTGCATCGATAGAGGCGTTGTTCGGGATCGATTGGTGTGTCGAGTCTGTTTGGTTGAAAGTGTTGGTCCACTCGGGCAAACTGGATAATGAGTCGCACGTTGAAGATGATTGCCACTGGGATGCCAACCACCAGAAGGTATCGTTCATCGCGTCAGGAATGGTGCCGCAGAGAGGGTCCTCTACAATCGTCGAAGAAAATACAGGCAGTTGCAAGCCGCTGCTGGATGTGGATTGAGGGTTGACGCCATGACTGCTATTGGAGATGGGCCCTTGTCTCGAATGTGCGCTTCCCGATTGAGCAGATTGTGCGAAGCCAGAGGACACAACCTGGGGCTCTGCCCAAAGCTCAGAGTCCGAGTGGTGCCACGACGGTGATGGCATGCTGTACGCAGTGCTCGAAACAGAATGTGCAGGCAGCTGGGCGTCGTCGTCGATGCGACGTCGCTTGTCACGGCTATAGCAGCATTCCCTTCCATGGACGAGGCACTCTGTGCAATGAGGCAGCTTCTTACTGCATGCCACCTTGCGGCGGCGGCATTCTACGCACGCCAAATTTGCCCTGCTCATATCGACAAGAGCAGGCCGCCTCGGTGGCAGCGATGGGATCCGGAAGTTCGTGTGCGCGGACGTGAGATGATTGCTCGTGTCGAAGTTCTGTGTCGAAGCCGCCAGTAGCCATTGCTGCAGAGTCGAGCAGGGTCGAGAGCCTACATTTGGGCAGCCAACCACGGCAATCTCGAGCCCGGAACTCGGACAATTTGGTCTCAGCGTGGCTTTCGGGTATCGCTTCTCGGCTGCAGCACTGCGAATCTTCCGGCGGGTCAGAAGAAGTTTATTTATTTTTTTATTTTTTTATTTTTTTGGGTTTGATAGAAGAACAGCCGGGAAACGATTCCAGCAACGAAGGCGTGCAGCAACAGAGAAGAAGATGGGCAAGAGAAAAGAGAGACTCTTCCAGCTTCGCGGTACACACGTGTCGCCACCAGCAAGTCTGTGTCAGGCGCTTGTAAATTGAAACCCCGCTTAGCCGAGGCTGCGTGGGGTGAACAGTAGCCGTCCCTGAGGAGGGTTGGTCATTCGGTCGTGGCGCGGAGAGGGTGCATCGCCGTGCACCTTCAAATCGTACCTTTTCAGAACACTGTATACAGCCTGTTGGGCTGAAAGAAGAATGCGCTATGCTTCAGCCAAGCATGTCCCACGCAACAGCGCGCCACCACCGTCAAGAAACGAGTCCGAGCGACTGTACTTACCATCTTGATGATTTTGTCCGCAAAGAACTGACCAACGCAATTGCGTGGCCCCATTTCAAATCGCCACAGAGAGTACCGGTAGTCGGAAGCCTTGAGATCGCGGAAACGAGTCGGGTCAAACTCGAACGAGTTGCTTCCCCACACCTCGCTGCGGCGGTTGAGCGTCCAAGCATCGATGATGACGGGCGTCCCAGCCGGTAGTGCTCCTCCACCAGGTTGCACCTTGTGCTGGCCTGACTGCTCGGGAAGCGAGAAGAACGTCGGTGGCGAGAGTCGCATCGATTCCATGATCGTCCAGTGTAGCATCGTATCGGTAGCACAGATGTAGTCGGAGAAGAGCACGTCCGCCTTCATCGTCGCCGACTCCTGCGTTACAAAGTCTTGGAGAAGCCGAGTCTGTACACCAGGGGTCTGAGCAATGTGAATCAACGTCCAGGCGATGACTGCTGCGGTAACATCAATGTTTGCAAAGAGGATCTCGTCGATTGCTGTATCAAACGGGCAAGGAAGGATTCAGAATCCAATAGGGCCAGGTCAGCAACGGTCTTCTTGCTATTGCTGCGTAACTACGATCGCAGCATCTACAATCCACTGACTCACTTTGTGTGAATTCGTCCATCGTCATCGTCTTGTCTGTGACTCGCGAAAACATTTCCGCCGCTGGAGAGTTGGCATCTTCGGCAACCATGTCGAGGCAGAACTGCCCGGATTCCCGCTGGAATTGGCCCATGATCCTGTTGGCGCGCGTCCAGAAAAAAGCCTGATACCTGCCAAACGGAAATAGATCGCCGTCTCGAGAAGGTCAAGCGACCAAAATCAGGTTTTGCTGGCTCTGCTTCCTATGAGACGCTGGATGCAAATTTTGGCTGGCAACGGAAGCCGTGGCTGGAGCGACGGACCCCATCGACCTAGCCATGTCTGTCGCAAATCTGGCGGCAGTGGACGCGCCTAGCCCCATTACGGTACCGGATCGCCCGCAATGAGATCAGCGCATCGACCTCCACAGGCTGTACGTATTCGCACTGGTCCAGGATTCGTCGGGCTTTGCATGCCTTCTGATTCTTCTTCCATAAACGCATCTCCGTTGGTGTGCATTCGATTTCAAATCAGCTAGCTGGTTTGCACAGCCTCACAGATGCGCACCATCGACGCAGAATTTGCTCCAAATCGAACGCGTGAACGCGTGCGATTCGCGTGAGTTAGACCATGCGGTCTGTCAGAATCCATGTGCTGTCAGCCAAGCTTCCACGCGACGAGACCACGCGGTCAGTAAAAAAGTTCACGCGGTCAGTAAAAATGTGAGCGATTGGAGCGACAGCGGCTTGAGACCAGGTGTCCCTCTGCTGACTTGTAAGTAGCGCATGGAAGCTTGCCGTCTGATAATGGGGTCTCACGATCAGGAAAAGCGCAACTTTTCATGCATGCGGCTGATGCGATGCTGCTCAGAGGGATTCGTTGCAGTCCGGACGCACATCTCAGCGAAGGTCTCGCGGTAGTCGCCGGCTGCTGGTAAAGGTATTCGGATATTGGCTGTTGACAGAGAAGAGGTGACGAGGCTGTGCTTAGCGGTTGTGATGTTGACCGACGCATCTGTGCTGCAACGTCCGGATTAGGCGTCCTGGAACAAAGCTCTCACGCCCATACCATCACATCAGTTGTTTGAACCCCAAAGACGGTCAGAACCTCGTGGTCGCACACGATCATGAGTTCACTTAATGGCGGTATCGAATGAAAGTCGCACCAGGCTGTGTTCCGGCTGGACCTTCGGTGAGCTACGCTGCATGTGACTTGGAAGGTCACCAGTGCTGTGATCAGCGTGCTCGATGAGCATTGCTAGCTTGCGCAAAGTGTTTAAAGCTGATGGACCAGCGGAACTTCCCGTCGCAGCCTCAAACAAATCGATCCCTTGGACCATCGCCCTCTTATCCTTCTCATGATTTTCGACTTCGCAGGACTGGCCCAAGGGCTTTTGCTGGCGCTGTTTGCCACGGCAACCGTCGTCTCGGCTCATCCAGGCGAGGCTCCTCCGACTCCGCGGGAAATTGCAGCAGGCAAGCTCTACAGGCGCTCGGCTCAGACGCAGTACAATCGCTGCAATGGTTCTCACCAATCGCTGCAACGTCGTCACGCCGTCAATACCCAGGTGCACCGGCGACAGAAGCTCCTCGAGCAGCTTCGTGCCCACGCTACTCGGCGACGCTCTGGCTCAGACTACGCATCTGATGTGCTTGAAACCAGCCATGTCTCCAACCGAACTGACATCACGAGCAACTCAACCACTTCCGCGGTCTTTGCAAACAGCACGGACGCCTGTGTCCTGCAGCCAGAAGTCACGATCGGGCCTTATTGGGTCAGCGGCGAGCTGCTTCGTTCCAACCTGACCGACGAACAGCCGGGCGTGCCCCTCTACCTTGATGCACAATTCGTCGACATCAACACATGCGACCCTGTCCCCGACCTGTACTGGGAGATCTGGAACTGCAACTCGACCGGCGTCTACTCTGGAGTGGTGGCCAGTGGCAACGGCAACGTGGAAGACGAATCCAACCTCAATACAACGTTCCTTCGGGGTGTTCAACGCACAGACGAGAACGGTGCTGCTCAATTTCAGACCATCTTCCCCGGCCACTACACCGGTCGAGCGCACCACATCCACGTCGTGGCGCACATTAACGCTACGTTGCTCTCAAACAACACGTTGGCCAACTCTGCCGACACCGGAGCAGTCCATATTGGCCAGTTGTTCTTCGATCAAGAGTTAGGGTTAGGGTTAGGGTTAGGGTTAGGGTTAGGGTTAGGGTTAGGGTTAGGGTTAGGGTTAGGGTTAGGGTTAGGGTTAGGGTTAGGGT